CATGTGCTACCAGATGTTCAACATCAATCCCAATGGACATACAATAGTCATTGAAAGTTTGTGAAGTAAATTCACCAGCATTATCTAGACATATTTTCTTGATTGGAAAATCAGGAAAATGTGCTCGTAGACGAGTCAGTTGGGCTAGTAATCTAGCAAACGCCAGGTTGTGCGTTGATAGTAAACATACATGTGATCATCCAGTTGATGCATCAACTAAAACCATAAAATATCTAAATGGTCCACATGGTGAGTGAATTGGCCAGTATATATCACCCTGTATACGTTTTAAAAATTTAAGAGATTCACTCTTTACTTTTACAGGTGATGGCCGTATAATCAACTTGCCACGAGAACATGCAGCACATGGTACATCTTTAAACTGATAAATTTTATGACCTTTCAATGGATGTCCACATATATTTGCAATGATTCTTCACATCATAATCGATCCGGGATGGCCTAACCGGTCATGCCAAATTATAAAGTTATCGAGATTTGTAAACTTCTGGTTTACCACTGCATGTGTTTCAATTGTACTAATAAATGTGTAAAAAGAAATAGCAGACAATTTCTCCAATATATATTTCTTACCCGAGATCATATTTGTTATCATAATATACTCTTTATTCTCTTCTTCATTTGACTCAATATGATATCCATTTCGCCGAATATCTTTGTAACTCAACAAATTTCTCGAGACTTTGAAGAGTATAACGTTTTATCGATATATAGTTTGGTTCCTTCTGGTAACAATATACTAGCTCTTCCGGAGCCTTCAATTAAATGAGTACTACCAGATATGGTACTAACATTTGCATCTCGCATTTCAAGATAAGAAAAATATTTCTTATCCTTCAAGATTGTATGTGTCGATGCACTATCGATAAGACGCACATCATGGGTTTTTTTATATCTTGGGACTAAGCATGAGAATATTCATTCTTCACAAACATAAAAAAATTAACTAATATTAGAAATAAATCTAAAGAAATAATGACATGATTAAACTAGATGAAATAAAAACGCGGTACAATGAGTCCTTGGTTGTGAATGGTGTGAGTCCCTTTATCCATGAACTGGCTGTCTTACTTCCACTTCTTCTCATGATCCTGGCTTGAGCCTAGTACTCGCATTGAGAGAGATAAGGGACGTCTTAGAAGACCAGTTGACCTCGTAAGCTGCTATATGATCTAGGAAATCCTCTACAGACGATTGAGGTTGTTTGTTGCTATAGAGGTCTCGAGAGCTGCATTGGTTTGAGTTAGGTTTGCTTGGGGACAACCAAACGGTTAAGTGTGGGGGAATTTGATAGACCAATAATTACACATGTTTATACCTCCATTCTTGAGCTGTTTGAGAGTCGATTCTCGTGTTGTAAGCCGATTTCACGCTAGGTTGTGTGTTTATGTCATATTTCAGGACTTGGCGATGACGTGAAGGCGAGGAAACGAGTTTCGGGTCAAAAAGAGGACGTTTGAGTAGAAGGGCGCTGGAAGAGCAAAATACCCGACCAGGAGTTGAAATACCCGGCCGGGTAAAATGCTAAGGAGGCCGGGGATTTGTGCTTTTGGACGCCCAGAAGGTAGAAGGGGTCCCGGCCAGAGAGCAAAAATACCCGATCGGTTATTCTTGACCTCGTTCGGGTATTATCCCCTGTACCGCTGCGCTGCCTCTCAAAATCCCCGGCCGGGCACCTGAAATACCCGACCGGGGATTACGACCGGGTCGCGAACGTAGGCTGTTAAAAGCCTATTTTTTGCGTTTTGGGGGGAGCTGGGTTTTGGATCCCAAACACCTAAGGGACGAACCAAAGAGAGAGAGAGAGAGGGCGATTTGAGGGCGTTCTTGTAGTGGAATTGGAGGATTTCTTCGCCTTGGAAGCTCGAGGAACAAGCCCGGACTTGAAGACTGATCATCTGAAGATTCTTACTGCAGTCTCTCTCTCTCTATGGAGTAACTTCCCTTCACTTAGGTTTTGAGGAACCCTAGCTATGTTTGTTTGATTGGATGATTGTATGAGTACTCTTACTTGATAATCTTGAGTTCATATTCAATCTATGCATGTTTTCATGATTCAATTATGCTTTAGTCGAGATTATTGATTCTGCTTTGATCTTATGAGAGCGAATACCTGATTAGGTCAATAGAGCACCATAGATTGATAGTATTGGATCGATTGCTTTAGTCGAGGGTCGATTCACTGCTTTGTATCGATTGAGAACCTCATTCGATAGAGGGAGTCTAGTTCAGAACGCCTTGATCGGTTGTTCTAGAGAAGGATACGTCCCTCTAGGCAATCGACTCAAGAGGGCCTTGATCCTTTAGTCGAGATTCAAGGTCTAGTCAAGGATTCTCCACATTGTGAATGAGAGTGAAACAAGTTAGAAATCATCAATCATTAATCTGGCTAGTGACTAGGGGGAATCATACCTAAGTGAGTTCCCAAACTGTAATTAGATTGACTTTATCTGTAGTTTTCTAGAGTAGTTTTAGTTGTTCTATCTTAATCTGGTTTGCTAGATAATGAACTGAAGCTGAGTAATAGTAACTCTAGAGACTCGTGGATTCGATATTTATTACTTGAGCCACTATACTGCAGTCCCTTTCATTGGTTACACTTGGCCTTTGTTGGAAGTTGTGTCATAGCGAGTCAATGTCTCATTACATTCGCTTTTTAGAATGGTTTGTTTCATTCGCTTCTGGAATTGAAATAGCGTCATTTGAACCAAATCATTTTCTTATCAAAAGTTCAATACGCTCTCACCTTTAACGAGCAAGAAAGTACCTTATAATTTCTAAAATCTCTTGCATAGCATTGCTACTACAGGAGCACATATAGATTTTCATTTTTCTTTCAATAAATCTAAGGAAAAGTTAATAAAGTCTTGTCGTACAATGGGTACGAAACCAATAAAAATTTCCATTACAATGAACATTCAATCCCAATATTCTTGTTTCCCTGTTCACTTCTTCCCTCGCCGCTATGCCCTTTGATTTTCCACTTCTGGGGAAAATATTCCGAAACTATCAATTCTCTTCATGTTAATGTAAAATCGTTAAGAATATAATCATACACATACATCCATGAAAGAAAAACGAAGATTGATATAACTCAAACAATGAATCTTTCTTGCAGTAGGTAGAGCTTCGTACTGATAACGTGTTATAAAATAACAAAGGAAGAGCAATAGACACAAGAGTAAGAGTAGAGACACAATAAGAGAGGAGGAATAGAGCTTTCTTATTAATGTATCTCTTAGTACAAAAAGATCCTCTATTTATAGGCACCCAATAGTGCATCTAATGCAGTGGTCATCCATATTAATATTTACATAATAAATACAATTTAATAGCAAAACCTTTCATTTCAAACAAAACAATAGCTAAATCATTTTGAAAACAATTTAATAGTCAAACTGTTAACTTTCCGTCTAGTTAACGTGGCAAATAAGTGTACACATCAGCTATATATTTTCTTTTTTATTGAATTATTTTCAAATTATTAAATAATAATGGTAAAATAATGAAATTATAATTAAAAAAAACTGAATTCCCCCCGCTTTCTTTCGCCACCTTGGTCTTCTATAGGGATGGCAACAAAACCCGAACCCACGGGTACCCACCCGACCCAACCCGGTCAATGCGGGTAAAATTCGTGTTGACGGGTTTTGGGCCGGGTTCGGGTTTAAACCCGCTACACTATTCACCGGGTCGGGTTGGGTTTAGGTAAACCCGACCCATGGGTACCCGCCCACACACATATAATTCCTTTCCCGGTATATTTAATATTCTAAATAATATATTTTCCTCAAACAATTAATATTCTTTATGTTTGTGGAGACATGTATAATTTGTTCTTTCTAATTGTTTAGAATTAAGTTGATATCATGAAGTGGAGAGTGAAAAACTTAGTTGACGAGGAAGAAGCTTTCAATTAATCTTTTGTTTATAGATGTTTATCTTTAATTTTGAACAATTTGTATTGATCATTTGCGGTTTGCTTGTATGCTCTAGATTAGGGGTGGTAAACGGTAATCCGGTAAACGGTTTACCGTTTTACCGAACCGGTAACCGGCGGTAAATGGTAAACCGTTTACCGGCGGTATCGGCAGCCGAGCGGGAAGTTGGGGGAGTCGGTTTACCGGACACGGTACCGGTAAATACCGACGGTAAATCGGTATTACCGATACCGAATCCCCCCTCCTTACTCCCTCGTGCTACGCTGCGTTTTGTTGCTTTACCCCCAAAAATATAAAATATTACATACATGAATGTAAGTATAGGCCTCAAAAATATTGTAAATAAGAGTTAATAATAAATTATTAATTACAAAAATGATGAAAAAAACTCAAAAAAATCAAAATATTACAACATCACACCACTTCCAGAAATTCGGTTCGGTAAATATTCGGTAAACCGACCAAAAAACCGCCCGAAATCGCTTCTCACGGTATTTCGGTAATACCGGTTTGTAACCGTTTACCGGTAATTCGGTAATCGGTAAACCGGTTACTAATCGGTAAACCGGTTACAAACCGGTATCGGTAATCGGTAACTAGTTTGGGCAACTTCGGTATACCGAAATCGGTAAATTCAGTAAACGGTAAATTGTTTACCGACAGAATCCCACCCCTACTCTAGATTGGTGTTTTTTTTATGATTAATTTGTATGAGAAAAATGATGTTAAACTTTTATTTTGAAAGAAACTTGTTATTGTAAATTTTTTACCACAAAAACCCACGGGTACCCATGAACCCGCGGATACCCAGCGGGTTGGGTTGGGTTTGAGTTTTTCAAACCCAACGAGTTTTACCCCGAATTTTTTTGGCGGATAAACCCATGAGTTTGGGTTTGGGTTTGACAAAACCCGCCCCAACCCGACCCATTGCCATCCCTAGTCTTCTACTCTTCTCCAACGCGACTACATTGGGAGCGCCGAAATCCCCAACCCTAATGCTACCGTTCCAACGCCTTGATCTTCGCCTGAAATCGTCGGCCGTATGACTAGGGCGACAGCGTGGAGAAGCCTCCGATGGGGGCGGTGATTCAAGCCGCAGATGGTGGGATTTTGGAATCAGAGCGACGGCATCGAAGATACTGAAGATGAAGAAGAAGGTTACTATTGAGATAAAGAAGAAGGCTTCTTCTCCACCTGATTCTTGTATGTAGCTCCTAGTTCCTACTGTAAATGTATTCCCCCTGGTTTTCATCTAGTACAACTATGAAAACGGAAAAAATGGGAGGGATTCATTGAGATTAACTCCTCCTTGAAGATTTCACCGGGCAATGGGTTGGGTTTAGACGAAGGACAGGGTAAGAAAGTGATTGGGCTTAGAGAGAGACTGGAACGAAAACAGCTATCATATTTTATGATTTTAATTTTGTAAAAGTAACAAAAAAACAAATTGTAAAAAGATTGTAATACCTATGTGGCTAGGTCAAACGTTGCCACTTAAGCTGAACTCCTCTAGCTAATGTATTATTTTGCCATGTCAGAGTCAACTAACTGTTGACCCGATGAAAAGTTAACGATTTAACTATTAAATTATTTTTCGAAAAGATTTGACTATTATTTTTTTTGGCTATAAGAGCATCCCAACGGTGGGAATAGGGAGGATTGCAATCCTAGGTGGTATTGGGATGAAAGTGGAGAGATGAGTGACATTGTTGTGGAGAGTTTTGCATCATTTGCAGATTTGCACACCATGCAAGTGGTGGGGGAGGTGAAGGTTGCCGAAGTTCTGTGTGCAGGGGAGGGGAGGTGGTGCGATGAGAAGCTGGGCCAATGGTTTGATCCTCAAACGTGCATGGCGATTAAGGGTATTCCTCTGCCCCGTCAGAATATGGAGGATCGATTGGTCTGGCATGGTACTGTGGATGGTGTCTTCTCGGTGAAGTCAGTGTATCACCTGGCGGTTGAAGTGGATCAATGCCAAGGTCGGTGGCGAATGCAGGTGAGTTGGATGGATAGGGAGAGTTGGATCCGGATGTTGAATGCCAATATTCCCCCGAAGTTGAAGGTTTTTCTTTGGCAGATTTTTCAGAGGGTTCTTCCGACGACTGAAGCGCTTATTGAGAAGGGCATTGAGGTCCGGCCTCGGTGCCCAGTCTGCTGGGCTGAGGCGGAGACTATGGAACATCTGTTCCTTGACTGTCTTGTGGCCAGGGCGCTTTGGGTTCAGTCGGGTTTGGAATACCTTGGGGAAGGTTTGCCTCGGCACTCGTTCCCTTTTTTTCTGAAAAAGCTGTTTTCGATCTTGCACCAACCCTCGCAATACATGTTGGTAACTGCTATCCTCTGGAGGATTTGGAAGTCTCGGAATTGGGTGGTCTTTGAAGGTAAACAATTTGGAGTTCAAGCCTTAATGAGGCAGTATAACCAACAGGTGAATGAGTGGCTCCGGTTGCCACCAGATCCAAAGGCTCCTATGCTGGCGGTTCAGCCAAGTCCTTTGGTGACGGTGGAGGCGGAGGGACCAGTGTGTCGGTGGGATGGAGCTGTGCGGAAGGGGTCTCACGCTGCAGGGGGAATGGTTGTCCTGTGCGAGGCAGGGGTCGTCCTTTGGGCTGCTGGTTTTCATTTTCCATTCATGGATGATCCGGTGGTGGCAGAGTTACTCACCCTCCGGGAGGCTATCCAGTGGTGCTTGGGTAACGGGTTTTCGAGGATGACTTTTGAAGGGGATGCCAAGGTAGTCATTGATAAGATTCGGCAAGGGGATATAAGGGATAGTCGGGTGGGCGTTATTTTAGAGGAGATTATTTGGTTGCTTACGGGTACTTCGGGCTTCAGTGTGCGGTTTGTAGGTCGGGATGGTAACAGGGTAGCTCATTTGGTAGCTAGGAAGGCCCTTTCGTTGTTCCCGTCTAGTTGTCGCTATTTTGATTTCCAGACCTGGCTGATATCCAGGATGTAGCTACCTATTTTTCAGATCAATTCATGATTATCTTTTGTCAAAAAAAAAAAAAAAAGATGCGATTGAAAGCTGGCCCACTTTTTGTATTTTTTTGGTTCTTTCCTTCTTTCTTTTCTTTTTCTTTTTCGTTCTTTCTATTTCTACAACCAAAATTTGCAGATTGCATTTGCCTTTTCTATTTGTTTTGTATTTATCTTGTTCCATTCATTTCTATCATATATATATATGTATGTAATTATGCATTTAGTTCATGGTTAATAAGATTAATAATATGATTAAAACTTCAAGATTCACATATATTTTAAGATAATACATCCATATAGTACAAATCGAAAAGAAAAACACACTAAACACATCAAGACAACTGTTACATGATTAATTAAACACACTCACAAATTAAAACAAATACAAAGCACTAAAAATTTTAATTTAAATCAAATTGAAAACACAGAAAGGAAAAAACATTTTAATAAAAAATTGGTGCAATTATTGGGCCAAAATGTATTTTCTCGGTCTTGTTAATTTAATTATCTAAATCTTTCCGATTTCAAATCAAAGTTAAAATTACATTTATTGATAGTAATTAATTATATAATAATTTACTATTTTTTTTTATGAATGGTAGGACGTTTCATTTCATCAAAAATGTCAAACAACCTTGCTGGCAACAACTCTGACCAGCTGAGCAGTGTACCTTTAACAAGTATTCACATCAACCAAACATACTATCAACTATAACCATAAACTAGAAAAACCTATCAAGGATTCCATGGTCCAAGAGTAGCCTCAGATCTCCCTTTATCAAACGAATCATCTCCTCCAAATTGAACACCTTACCTCCAAACTTTATCCTGCATCTCTCCCTCCAGATACTTGCAACCAAACTCTGCCAAATCACTTTACCCACCTGAGCCATATCATTCTTCTGTGTATGATTCCGGGAAGCCCACTGAAGTTCAGCTATCCACTGATCACCAGGAGAATGGTTAGAGTACTTTGCAAACAGGTTGATGAATAGCTGTTTATAGACAAAGCATTCTGCAAATACATGTGATCTTGTTTCCAGGGTAGAATTACAGAAAACACAGCAATGGTTACCTGCAGTCCCCCACCCTTGAGCCTTTTCTCCTGTCACAATATAATCATTTACTATGAGCCATACTAAGAACTGGTTTCTGGGGATACTTGTTCCTTTCCAAACCAGAGAGTACCAGGGAACAGTGTTGGTTTTGGGTCTCAACTCCTCCCATACTTTCTTTATTTGGAATTTCTCCATCAGTTCACCTTTCCAGTAAACTCCATCAGTCCCAGTCCCCAAATAATTACTCATCTTATCTCTGTACTTCAGCAGTTTCAACCACAACCAGGATCCAGCTTTCGAGGTGACAGTCCAAAAATAACATCTCTGAATTCTATACTCCCAAACCCAGGCCACCCATAATGACCCCTGTTTCAACAATATAGCCCAGACATGCCTTGTAACACAAGTCAAATTCCAAGATACCATGTCTCTAAATCCCAGACCCCCCTCCTTCTTAGGGTATGTAATCCTTGGCCAAGCAACCACAGCGCTTTTCCTAGGTCCATCTCCCACACCCCACAAAAAATCACTGCATAGTTTCTCTATTGCTCTGATAACTGACTTAGGGAGTATGAAAATTGACATCCAAAATTGTGTGAGACTATATAATACTGACATGACTAGTTGAAACTTCCCTGCATAAGAAAGTATTTTTGCTTTCCAGCTAGATATTCTCTCTGTCACCCTATCAATCAGTGGAGTGCAAGCTTTAATGGTAAGTTTACCTGCCAGCAGAGGGAGACCCAAATACCTAACTGGTAACACCCCTAGCTTATAACCTGAGTGACTTGCCATAGCCTCCTGCCATTCCACACTAATACCTCCTCAATAAAGCTCACATTTTGATGGATTGGATTTTAGGCCTGACATTCTTCTAAACTCAGCTAGAACTTTCTTAATACACTGGATCCCATAGTTTGAACCATCATAAAATAGCAAAAGATCATCAGCAAACATAAGATGGGTCAATCCCAATCTCTTACACATGGGGTGAAATGGCATCTCATTTCTCCTGACTGCTTCATTCATTAGACAAGATAAAACTTCCATAGCCACAGCAAATAGATATGGGGAGAGGGGGATCCCCCTGCCTCAGCCCCTTCTTAGCAGAATAGTACCCCACTGAACCTCCATTAAATCCAATACTCAGCTTGGGTGTAGTAACACACATTTTTAACCATTGTAAAAACCTCTCAGGTATTCCCATTGCTTGCAAAGTATTAAAAAGGAAACCCCAATCCACCGAGTCAAAGGCCTTCATCAGGTCAATCTTCACTAAGGATCTAGGAGAGATGTTTTTCCTACCATATTTATGAACAAGCTCATGTGCAAGTAATATGTTTTCCCCTATTACCCTACCCTTAACAAATGTAGTTTGAGATTCACTAATTAAGCAGGGCATAACAGAGCTAAGCCTCACAGCAAGTATTTTGGCCATACACTTATATAGAATGTTGCAACAAGAGATTGGCCTAAAGAATTTCATCTCTTCTGGGGACTGAATTTTAGGTATTAGGGCTAAAAGAGTTGCATTAACACAAATTGGAATCTCAGATACTCTAAAACAGTGTAAGATGGCAGATGTTACCTCTCCTCCAATAACATTCCATGCTGCTTTGAAGAAACAGGCAGGAAAGCCATCAGGCCCAGGGCCTTCTCCCCATCAAATCCAAACAGAGTTGTTTTGACTTCTTCAGCTGTAACATGGGAGCACAACTCTACACTTTGCTCAGGCATTAATTTTTTGAGAAGTATACTTTTAATTTGATCCACCTCTGGGGGAATAACTTCTGGATCACATTTTCCCAACAGTTCCCTGTAGAATCTCTCTGCTATCCCAGCCATACCATCGTTGTCTGTAACCCTTTGACCATTTTCATTAATTAAGGATCTAATCATATTCCTTTTTTGGCGACTCTTAACTGAGTTATGGAAGTATGGGGTGTTCGAGTCCCCCTCTTTGAGCCATATTTCCCTTGATTTCTGGCGGAAAAAAGATTCTTCAGCCTCTCTTAGGACCCTAGCCTCTTTAGAGATTCTTATCTCCTCTTCAAAAGCACTAGTTGTGGGGTGGTTCAAGGCTTCTGCCTGTGCAGTCACCAGTTCAGATTCCTTCATTCGTACCCTTTCACTGATATCAGAAAAGTCATCCCTATTCAACTTCTTAAGCAGCCCCTTAAGTAATTTCAGCTTTCTACACACCCGAATTAAAGGAGAACCCTCTACCTGTGTCATCCATGCTTCCTTTACTAAGTCCATAAACCGAGGATGCTTGATCCAGAACTTGAAGAATTTGAACAGCTTTGGCATTGATTTCAAAGTACTATCAGAGTTTAATAGAATCGGACAATGATCCGACACAGAGGGATCCAACAGATCAACAGTACTAGAACGGAGTACCTCAAACCACAGAGTATTCACAAAGACTCGATCCAATCTCCTTGCTATTGGATTCCCCGTTTGCTTGTTTATCCATGTAAACCAGGGTCCTGATGACTTGTGTTCCTCTAATTCACAATCATATTGCCAATTTTTGAAATCAATCATACTACTAGAGACCTGAGGCATGTTTGAAGCCTCATTAATATCCCCTATGGCATTAAAGTCTCCCAGTACATCCCAAGGAGCAGATTGAACTTGCAATCGAACCAACTCACTATATAGAATTCTCCTATCCACTTCATCATTAGATGCATAGACAAAAGTAAGGAAAAAAGGTGTACCTGAGGCCACCAGTACATGGATGAACTGATCAGTCTGATGGAGAACTGTAAGTTTGATATCCAACTTCCAGATCAACCATAGCTTGCCAAGACCACTTGAATTATTTGCCACTCTTGAATCCCAACCAGGAAACCTCATATTAATCAACTGTTCTGCTTTATTTTCCCTAACCCTAGGTTCTAGTAAAACCAGTATATCTATACTATGTATATTTAGTAGCTTCCTAACAGCTTTATTCTTATCCGGGTCATTGAACCCCTGGATATTCCAAGTAATTACTTTCATCTCTTCTTCCCAGCCCTTCCCCCTTTTCGAGGGCCAACCGGTTCAACTCTTGGTGTAATAGGCTTCCTTTTAGAACTTCCCACTGTAATTCACGGGTTAGGCTCCTTCTCTGCTACAGCCATCTGAGGAGATGCCCTCCCATCATTTGGTGAAGCAGCCCCAACAGATGAATGAATTGGTTGATCAGAACTCCCAGACAGGGCTGGTGATCCTGATACAACCTCAACAAAGCTGACAGCAGTACCCCCATTGATAAGAGGAGTAGGACCAACACACCCATTTGGATCCTGAAATTCCACCTCCTTCCCTTTAGACTTAGTAGCATCTGCCTTACTAGTCACCCCCTCTTGCAAAACCTCCTCAACCTGAGCCACAGTACTATTCCCTTCAGCACTCTGCACACTCTCCACCTTCCTCATCTCAGCATTTGGTCCCTTAACCTCTCCCTGCTGAACAGTCCCTTTAACTACCCATTTCTTATTGCTATCAGCCAAACTCTTGCAATCATGCCCATATACTTGACACTGTGAACACACCCTAGGCAAGTTCAGGTATTCAACAGTCACCTCAAAGAATGGATCATCATCCGGGTAGAGACGCACCTTCGCCGGGAAACCACAGTCTGCCGATAGATCAACACACACCTTCGCGAAACCCAGTTTCCCTCCAACCCTAGTTGTTTTGTCCATCCAGAGAGGAGGACCAACAGTACTCGCAATCCACTCTAAACCTTCTGTGGAATGGTATTCCAGCGGAATTCCCCAGATTGACACCCAGATAGGAAGAGTTTCAACCAAGAGATTTACTGGTTGAATACCTGGTGACCATTTCCTGAGGTAAAGCTGGTTCCCTTGAAAGTGCCATGGCCCTGTACGAAACACCCACTTGCTTGTGGAGGAAGAAGGAAATTGGAACACAAACATCCGAGCACCGAAACGAGAGACTCGCACAGCTCCATCTCTTCCCCAAATTGCAGTAGCCCAGGATTGAAGCTGAGCAACATTCGGCTGAGCACCCACAAATTGACCGATGAGGCAATCGCGCCAACGTTCCTCACCCTTCTTCTTCACTTCACGCGGAAGTCGGAAACCATCGTTGACCCGCTCCGGAGATCGGAACTGCATCCTGTTCTCCTGCGGGACATCAAAAAGCTGAGCCCAAGTGCTGACCCCCGGACCCTTGCCCATCGTCGGAGCAGCTTCCGACGACGAGGCCGCCATTTCGATTTCGGGACGAAAACCTAGAGAGAAGAGAGAGAAGAGAGGAAAGGATTGCGTTTTTTTTTAATTTACTAATTTTAGTTAAAAATGCATTACAATATTTTAGGAAAATAATGTAGGCAATATGAATATAGAATTGTAGTAAAATTAAGCAGGACCAACGATGCAATTGCATGTGAATGACATTGATGCCGATGATATGAAAGTGAGGAGTGAGGTAGTTAGTGGCAATAGGAAGACACTTGAAATTGCATTAAAATTGAATCATTGATGATGGTCTAAAAATTTAACTATTTTCGACCATTTTATTTTTTTGTTTTTCTTTAACTATTCTTAAAAAAATAAAAAAAGATAAAAAATTTGACATAGTTTTGGTTTCGGTGTATCCGACTAAGCCTTAATGGCTTGTTTAAGTCCATTTGGTGGAGCTTAGTTGCCTTCAGTGGGGACGCTTGTGTGTTTTGTTTGTTTTTTTGTAGAGGCACGCAGAAGAGCTCTCGTTATCGGTGGGACTTCCTCAGACAGGTGACTTGGCTCATGATCAGAATGAAACTATCTTGCAGGATGCTCAGAGCTCGGCTTCTCTCTGTAGTTGGGTTTCTTACTGTTTGGTTCTCCGCTATCTCAATAGGGCTGCCCATCTTGTGGCATAAAAGGCCCTCTCATCGGAAGTTCGACTATTGGTCGACTCCCACACTCTTTTTATTTTCTTTGTATATCTGATTTTATAACAACTAACTTTGCGGGAATTTTTTTTAACTATTTACCCTATTTCTTACAATTGCTACTTTTTTGGAATATCTATGCACCGAATGAATTCTGGTTGAAGTTTTACAACAATCACAGTTCAAAATACCAAGTTGGATTTTGATTTCGGTTGAACAACCGCGTGGAAAACAAAATTAAAATGATCGATCTTAAATCCCAAGACCCAAGTCCCTAGTCCTATACCGCAGAGCAGGACTGGATTCTGGAGAGCAACAGCTGACAGCAGAAAGAGAGCGCGCGCTGGTTGCGTCAATAGTAAATTAGCAGTGTTTCTTTCTTTCGTCGGAGAGTCGGAAGCGAACGGCGGATTATAGCAGCAGTGGTGAAGAAGCGTGGAGGAAGACAAGAACCCAATCCGAACATCAGGCTGCTCACTTCAATCTCAATGTCAAGGGAGCAAGGTTCGATTCCCTCAACTCTTTCCTTTTGCTCTCAATGGGCTTCTGCTCTTAAAGAAAGGGCAGTCGGTGTATGTGAGATTGCGCTCTTGGTGTCTTTTGATGTTAATTTTCCGATTTGGGTAAAAATGGTTTGTTTGATTGTTAGAATTAGGGTTTCTCTTCGTTGATTGAATATGTTATGCGCCTGTGCAAGTAGCCTATCGTGTGGAACTTCCGTCGTCCTATGCTATTCTTTGCTTATTGACTTGGTTGTTCCTTCTTCAAGAACTTCCTCGTCCGGTTTTATTTGCCCATGGAAATCAGTAGTGACGGATTCTTGTTGGCTCTGTGGTTCAGTGAGGCTCCTGCATTGTCTCTCAGGGTCTTGAAACTTCATCATTGTTTGTATACAAAATGACGATCAGAAGGAGCCTTCTTATGGTTGTGTTATTGGTGCAAGCAGGTTTTGACTGTAGGTGCAAGTAACATGTGTAAAGATGTGAAACAAAGTTTGTATTGTGTTTGTCCCGATTTCGACTTCTCTCAATACATCTAAGAATCGCCTGATTTGATTTGTTTGTTGGTTGCTCTTGTCTTTGATATCGATTTGCTGAATTTGGTTTGATTAACTGACTTGCATACAAAGTTTTATAGATATACTGGGGACGAAGCAAACCTATTTTTATCTCCTTTCCTTTCTTCGTGCAACTGAAAAACAGGATTATAGAGGAATTACTACAGCCAGTCGAGTCTTCGGGGTAACCATGAAGGTTATAGAAGTGGATCGATGCCAGATCCAGGAGTGGTACCGAAAGTTCAAGTCAGTCTCCATCCCAACCATCATTCACCAACTTCCTCAATCGTTCATCGACTACCTACTCGACTCAGGAACCCTACAACTTCCTCTATCCATATCAAATGAAGACGCTCTCCCAAACAGAGTTCACAACCCCATCGACGAACTGGATTACCAACTAACAGAAAAATCTGACGACGAAGATGAAGAATCAGAGCAATCCACCTCATCACCCCCACCTTCTTTCCCTGACCTTGAACTCCAGATCAAGAAATCGATCGAAACACTTGGAGGTGCAGTTTTTCCCAAGCTGAACTGGAGTTCCCCCAAAGATGCAGCTTGGATCAGCTCATCGAGAAACCTCCGATGTACTTCATTCAGTGAGATAGCACTCTTACTCAAGTCGTCCGATTCCTTGGTCCATGATCTGGGCCATGCCTATGATTCATGCTGTGATAAAAAAGAATCATCCAGACCCTCAAGTTTCTACATCGCACTCCGGAAGTGGTACTCTTCGATTTTGCCAGAGAGAGAGTTCCGGTGCTTCGTACGTGGTCAGCAGCTGGTGGGAATCTCGCAACGTGAGGTCACCACGTGCTATCCTTTGATTCTAGCGGAGAGAGGAGGGATTCAGGATCTGATTGTGGGGTTCTTCAAGGACCAGGTGCGGATGAAGTTTGAGTCGGATGATTACACGTTCGATGTGTACGTGACAAACGATGGTCGGGTTAAGGTTTTGGATTTTAACCCATGGGCGGAGTTTACGCTGCCACTGCTGTTTACGTGGGACGAACTGGAAGGATTCAACGGGGAAGAAAAGCAGGAGGATGTGGAGTTGAGGGTTGTGGAGAGTCGGTCTGGGATACGGCCTGGTCTGAAAACTGCTGTTCCACGAGAGTTCTTGGAGGTAGGGCCGGGTAGTGGATGGGAGCAGGTGTTGACGAAAGCATTTGAGGAGTTGCAGCAGCAGCAACAGGAGACATCAGATGATGATCATTGAGACTTTTACTGTCAACCAGCTCGTCAGGATTTGGGAATCTCATCTTTTCTAGTGACAATGTGGTTGAATTTGCTGCGTAAGTGAATATGGTAACAAAGAATCCAGTAGGAGGGATTGTGTGTGAAATGAAAACCTTGGCGTAAACATGAGGGCTGAGAATTTGAGTGATATAGACAAGTTTTGTCATTTGTTGCCATTATATGTCTGAGCCGGAGCAGGATTTCCTTCTCTTATAACTGCTGATTCTGAATGACTCCAAAAGCTGTTAGAGCTGATCGGTTTGCTGATCAGGTGTCTTATTCCTCTTACATTTTAACGGGAACTCGTTTCTCGGTGGCTTCAACCAATGAGTACTGTTATCAGTTAACTGATAGTTATTTCTCTACGCACAGACACCCATCAACAGCAAACGCTCATGTTGCTTACAAGAAAACTGTTATCCACTTGAAAATATACATATATAGGCAGGGTTGACTCCCAAGCATTCATCAATTAATGTAGCAATTGGAACACTCACAAATAAGCGCATTTTGCAAATCAAAGGAAAAAATTGACAAAGTTTGACCTCCAATCCGATATTTGCAGTGGTCGATCTTGTGGGTGTGTATGCCGTACGGCCCGTTTATCTCACCGGATTAGGGTCAAAGTGGGCCAACCAATGAATCAACTCGCAGGTTGACAACCTTGTGTAAAACACACCTAAATTTTATAATGCTCAATAAATCTTTTTCAACTGTCCTACTAGACAATCATTCATGAATTGATCACCTATTTATTTCTTTATATAGTCTAAAACTGAAAAACTCTTTGAACACTTACAGTTTTAAGTTTTAACTAAGATTGTCAATTTGGGTTGGTTTGGTTAACCAAACCATTAAGTATAAAAACCAAAACCAAAATTAAAAAAATTCTGGAAAACTAAAACCATTAAGGCCTAAGCGATTTTCAGTTACCCAATAAGACGCTTACAGTTTTCATTTGGTTTGGGGAAAAAACCAAATCAATAATTTGGGAAGTCTAAAATTGGAGTCAAGAAAAACAACATAAAGAATGAAGATATGAAAGAAGTCTATTCCACATAAATTGGTGACAACACATGTTGTTGATGGATTTGACTAGGTTGTGATGCTATCAATTTTTTATTGGATCTTTTTTGGTTTTAGTCGAAATCAAAACTATTAAGATGTTAAATGGTTTAAAACCAAAACCATTAATATTTTATTAGTTTGGTTTTGTTTAAACTAAAAAAAGCAAAATAAAACAGACCGTCCTAATTGCAACCCTTAAAATCAATACAACTTTGTGAAGTAAATAAACCGAAGACAATATCAGTAGGGTGGGAAAATACAAAATTAGTTGTTGGCGGTTGAATGAAATTGGGAAAGTTGAGATTTAATTGGACTTTCTTTTAGGTATAATTCCATTTACGTTTTTAACACGTTATTGTAACAATATAATTTGTGTGTAATGCATAATATGTTTTTATTTAACCAAAGATAATATATATATATATATATATATATATATATATATATATATATATTGATAAGATCAGAAGTTACACCCTCGATCCAATCCAGACACGAAAATCATACAATCGACACGAGGTCGGAGACAAAGAAAGGGCCTTCCTAGCCACTGAATGGGCTACCCTATTGCTATTCCAACCTACGAACCGCACACAAAAGCCACTATTCAACCCCACCAGACACAAAATCTCCTTGATAATAGCCCCTACCAGACTATCCTGCGCATCTTTAGCATTAATCTTGTCAATGAGTACCTTTGCATCACCTTCAAACCTCACTTGAGGGATGCCAAGGGCCTGACACCAATGGAGAGCTTCATGCAGGGAAATAGTCTCTACCACCAGGGGATCGACCACGCCTTCAAAGACCAGGCCTTTTGCTGCCACCACAGTCCCACCTCTATCCTTCACAATCCGCCCTCCTGCCGAGTGGGAGTCAGCACACACCGCACCATCCCACATACAAACAAGAGGTGACATATCCTCCTCGTCCTGATGATGTTGAGAGGTAACCCGACCCAAGATCAATCTATCATCTGGCAAAGACACTCACTCATGCACCTGCTGATGATATTGGCGCATCAGCTGGGAAACCAAGAATTGCTTGCCCTCAAAGGCTGCCCAATTTCTTGATTTCCAATGTTATTTGATAACTACAATGTTACTTTTTTTTATTCCAAAGACTACCACTTATTTTTTTATGTTCACCCCAACCTAAACTATTAGTGGAAGTCGATAACTTTTCCTCCTGAAATTCCATAGGACACTTCTAAAATGCCATGTTCCGTCATGGCTTCCATGTAAAGAGGACACTTCTAAAATGCCATGTTCCGTCATGGCTTCCATGTAAAGGATGATAATGAGATGAGATTTTCTAAACCATCCTCGTCTCGTTTTCAAGTATCCAAACTCATATACGTTCCATACCATGCGAGAAAGGTTTTGCAACCTCATCTTCATATTTGTGGTTTTCACGAACCTGTGGGTAATACATACCTTGTACATCTAACATATACAACACTTAGCGAACCTAATATCTCATAAAGTCAGCAAATGTACAATCATTATTAATAAGGTTCAAAGAATCTTACCCTAAAAAATCCATTAACCCATAAGATAGAGTAGTAATATATTTTACAATCCTTATTATACATCTACTAAGAATAAATATCTAACATAATCTTGTTAACAAGGGAGAAAGTAAAAATGTAAAGGGAGAATTGAGGGAAAGGAATTACTGAATTAGTTTTTGGTTTTGGTAGTTGTTCAATTGCATTTCTGATATTTATTTTTTCAAGTTACTCTCACTATCATTGACCAGGGGTGAAGCCAGCCCATGGGCGGCCCCCAAGGAATTTATAAATATAGCTGAATAGGCATTAATGATAGAAAGTTGTCGTTGTAGTATGGTGGTGAGAACTTCTTTTTTCATACCAAAGGTGCAGGTGCAGGGTTCGAGTCCCCTCCCTTGCATTGCACAATTAATTTTGTCTTTTTTCATACCAAAGGTGCAGGTGCAAGGTTCGAGTCCCCTCCCTTGCCTTGTACAATTAATTTTGTGCCTAATAACAGCAGGTTTGTGTTCATTTTGTGTTTTGTTTTCACAAGAACTTTCCACATTTTGTAGCTAATAATATTATGTTTATATTCATTTTATGTTTTGTTTTCACATTTTGGTACAGGGTTCGAGTCCCCTTCCTTGCATTGCACAATTAATTTTGTGTCTAATAACATCAGGTTTGTGTTCATTTTGTGTTTTGTTTTCACAAGAACTTTCTACATTTTGTAGCTAATAACATTATGTTTAAATTCATTTTGTGTTTTGTTTTCACATGAACTTTTCACTTATCCCAGTTTGACTAGTTTATATTGTATTGTTTTCACATCTTCTATTTGACTAGTTTATAAATTATTAGCAATTGTAAATGAAAATTAATTACAAATGAATAATAATTTTCGTTTCATCTAATTAAAATATTTAAAACATTTATCTACATATGAATTAACAATATACTTATGCAATTTATTGAAGAAGTAAGAAATACATATAACTTTTCGAGTTTTATCCATACCCGTCGCATATCCAATCCATACAGAATTATTCCGCGTTGTCTGAGTTGAAAGTGAGCGGGTACCTTCGATCATGCGTCTGATTGTCATGATGGGGGCGGGGGGTGATGGTGCTATGGATAGAGGATATTTCACTTTCCTAGTTGTTTGTATCTTGTTTTCTGAGTTTGTGGTGTTTCCGTTTATGTATGTGCTTACCCATAAAAATTAATCTTGTACCACATCAGTTAAAAACAAGGAATTAAGGGGTCGTTTGGAGAATGGGATTTAGGGCGTGGATTCATTGAATCCGTAGATTTTGTAGAAAGTTATGTTTTTTTGTTATTTTTCGTATTGTGGATTTGAGCTTTAGAGATTTCAAATCTCTAAAATCTACGGATATCAAATCTCTCATAATCGGAGAGATTCTATATCTTGATTCGTGAGATTTTTTTTCTCCTACTTTTTCTCTTTGTTTTATTTATTTATCACATTAAATATATTTATCAACAAAGTTTTTAATATTTCTCGAACCACTATAATTTTTTATTAAGGATAAACACGTTATTTAATATAAAAATAATTTTTTTATTTTCATTGAATGTTAACAATCACAGTTACCAAACAATAAACATTTTAAAATCTATTTTCAACAATCCAAAGAGTTAGAATCTTTAGATTGTTGACAATCTATAGATTTAAACTCATATTCTCCAAACGCCCCCTAAATGGCTTTATAAGACCAACTTAATCATATCAATTTAAATCAGTTGAGTGGCCCATGAGGATTGGGTTTTTGGGCCTATTACTCCGTGCCACCACGCGCGCCATGCATATCCAAATTTGGCTAAGTATGGGAGCCACCCCCATGACACACAGAGGGGGGTGGGCATCATACCGCCACCCCCATATTGGCCGAATTTGGCTAAGGCAAGGAGTATGGGAGCCACCCCCATGACACGCAGAGGGCGGTGGACGCTATACCACCACCCCCGGGACGTGGTAGGGGGGTGGACATCATACCACCACCCTCAGGAGGTACCAAGGGGGGTGGCCACCATCATACCACCCCCGGGACGTGGTAAGGGGGGTGTGCATCATACCACCACCCCCAGGAGGTACCAAGGGGGGGGGGGGGTGGCCACCATCATACCACACCCATGACGTGGTAAGGGGGTGAGCATCATACCACCACCCTCCATCATACCACCCCCAGGACGTGGCAAGGGGGTGAGCATCGTATCACCACCCCCAGGAGGTACCAAGGGGGGGTGAGGGGGGGGGGGTGGGTGGTTACCATACCACCACCCTCGTGGCCATGGTGAAACGAGAAGAGGTAAAATGTGGCTATGTATGGAAGATGATGAGGGTGGCAAGGAGTACTCCCATGAGGCGATCTGGGGACCACCAACATACCACACCCATGGTATGATTAGGGGGTGGGGGTCACCAACGCCGGCTCCCATGAGGATGATATAGTGGTGGAGGTGATCCATATGACCCCCATGGGGGATGCCCCCAATGATATGATAAAGGGGTCACCAACGTACACCCATATGGTATGACCAAGGGAAGGGGGTCATGTGAGCTCGTGGGCTCTTTACTCTACTAATGGTGAAGCATTGTTTGCCATTTTTAATTCATGTGATTCAAATACCCACCCATATGTGGTACGTGATATTCCTTCATGCCTTAGCCATTTTTACTCTATGGATAAGCAAAATTACGGGGGAGGTGCCAAGAGCAGAGGTTGAGGTCTCAAGAGGAGGGGTCAAGACTGAAGAGGATCCCACTTCCAACATCAGGGTAACCGTCATAGCAGTTGAGAGGGTAACCGTCACTCCACGTCAACAGAGTAGTTTCTTGGGGCAGTTACTTCTGATGGCTATAAATAGGAGGTGAAGATGACAGAGAAAGGGTTCGCAAAAATCAGAATTCGACACCACTTGTCAAGTTTTATC